GAATCAGGTTCAGACTTGGTCAGTATTTGAATAGGAAGTTTACAAGGAAAAGCCAGGTGTTATAGAAAGTAGCACTGAAAGTTCTTACTGAGTTACTGCTGAACCATATTGTAAAGGGAGTGTTCCCTCCATTATACATGGGATGCAAATAGTTCCAGTGGTTATTGGAAGAAGGGAAGATGAGTAAGTATCCTCTACACTAACCACTGGAAAGGGTAAATGCAAAGGATAGATGCATGATGTCATGTGTATATTCCCAATGCATGTTGCAGTTTGGAGAGAACTAGACCTCTGACTGGTGCACTGCCCATGGTCTGGTTTCTGTATTATCCTGTCTCTCGGTGTCCAACATGGTTGGATTCCATAAGAATGGAAGTTCCTGTACCAATATGCACCTGACATTATAGTTTTTGTTAAAAATAGGTTCTATATATTTTTCTTGTTCCTTTGATCTTCATCTCACTGCTGCTCTGTTTCTTCTGAGGGAACCACTTACAATTTTCTTGAGTGCTGAATAATCCTTTATAAACTATTTCATGACATCTGTAAAACAGAGGTAAGAAACAATATTAGAAAACATGGGTAATCATGTTGCATAAAAATCTAACAAGAGATTGATGGCTAAAACACCTCTTTTGTAGTTCAGTATCTACAGGGATCCTTCAGGGTCTGAAGACTTGCCTGTGTTCTTAAGGTATGAAAAAACTGCATTGAATTAAGACGGGACAGAGGTTTCCAAAGAAGAAGTTGAGCCGTGGTAACCCATCTATGTGCTCGCTCTTACCCCAAGGTAAATGAAGGCTAAACTGTAGCCGTTTATCCCATAGTAAAACAAAGCTGAGTTACTTCAGTTCAACTTTCATTTACTTTGGGTTAAGACCAGGCACATAAGCAGTTACAATGAAATCAACTAAATCAGATAAGTGCTGATAGTATTTCTTTGCCCCCAGAGCTCATTGTAATTTGTTCATTTGGCCACATATAATGGGACTATAATGGGATTTAACTTGCATTCTAAGGGTCAGATTTTTTTTAAGTACTTAGGTGCCTACCCCTCAAAGTTCACAGTAAGTTTAAAAATCTGGCTTGACCCGATTAGAATCTATCTGTGGAATATTAAATTAAATGTTACTGCTTGTCTACACTAACTATAAGCATGTTCTAAGTATCATAAACATGCATGTTCTTCCTTAAACTCATCATATCTCTGTCAGACCTTAGAATGCAGCAGGAAGGAAGTATATTACAAACTTCATTCAAAGTACTATCTTTTGAAAAATGGTTCTCAGGATCTCTTGTGCAAGAAATGGTAGTTAAGGTTACACTCCCACAGCTTGTATGAAAGTAGTGGGCGTAAATCATATAGTTGTTTTCTGGCCTACTGCCACACTCAGACAGGTGGTTCTTTGCAGCTCTGAAAGACATGAGAAAATTGGTTCTGAACGCTAAGTATAGCTCACAACTTCAGTAGCACTTCCTTCCAAATAAATGTTGATAACTAAAGTTCAGTATTTTTTTAAAGTATTTCTTAACATCTGACTTGCTTGTAAGGATGCTGTAGAATAAGCTATGAAGGTTATGATAGATCTTGCAAACAGAGAAATGCCTAGCTTGAGAAAGAAGCAAGGATTTTCAGTGATAACATTTATCGGACTAACCACATAGCTGGGAGAACTGTTGGACCTGGAAAGTTGAAAGAACTAAAAGATTTTATCACATTTTTCATTATTTGAAATAAAAGATTTTTGTTTCAACCACTTTCTCTTTGTGGCAAAGATCTAGTCCAAACTCTTAACTTCAGTAGGGGGACTACAGATCTTTCTTCTCATGTCAGCTTTTCTCTACTAGCTGTTACATAAGTTCATATTAATAAAAATAGGTTAATCAGATCTTTTTTAAATGGACATGACTCTGTTGGGGCTTACTCTCACAACAGAGTATGCTTTTTAAGCACCTTTTTCAATAATAAGATTAATATATTAGCTGCGGTTAGTAGCTGATCATATTGTTCCCTGTGAATAATATTTATTGTGCTTTTAGCCCCCTTTCTGTTTGTAACTGGTTCATGAACAAATCCTAACTTTTCAAAACACAGTTTTCGGCTTATGAATGTTTTGGGATTTATGAATGGGTCATGTAGATAATTCCTTACTCCTAACTGATGGAGTGTGGTGCACCAGTCGTACAATTAAGGTGGAAAATATTCAAAAGGCAAAATATAAATTGTAAGGTGTGAAAGTACTCAAAAATACTTTCTTTCAGTAGTCCGTCATTTCTGTACTTCACCTCAGTTTTCCCTAAAGATCCCCTTGAATGTGAAGCCCATTCAACTTCTACTCTAAATAAAGGCTAATACTCTCAAGTGAAATTAACAGTAAAATATAAATCACGCTTCATAGACCACTGTATTTCAAAGATGAATACTTGTTTAAAATTCTTTGGAAAGATGGGCAAAAGAAGGTTTTGCTGCAGCCACAACCTAAAGGACCAACTAGTATCTAGGGGCTGAAATTAATGAATATTTAAGTGCTCTCAGCCAGACCAGTGACTTGAATTAACATTAACGCTTGAGGGTCTTGTCAGCTAAGAGTGTCACCCAGTGAGCATTTTGTTAGAGAAGTGCAAAATGAACATAATTATTGGGGGGTGAGCTAGCAATATTCGTTACATAATTAGTTAACATATCAGACGTCTTTTCCCTATGTAGAAAGCCCAACTAAGTACATGGTAAAGTACCTGCTTTTTTGCTTTCAAACAAAAAGTCAAAGTATCGTACTTTTTTTAATAAAATGTATGTAAAAAAATAAACAGCACTAGAAATCCCAGTGTGAAGTTTTGGATATGAACTTTAATTTTTGTAAAGAAAAGAAATATGAGCTCTTGTGTAAACAGTTGGTAAGCTATCTACAGTGGGGTGAGTGGGGAACCCATCCCAGGCACTGAGCAGGCTCCAGAATCTGCCACCCCTCACACCACTGGGGAGTCTTTACCCTGTCTGGGGAACCCTGCACTGCCCCTATCTAGCCACAGGAGCTGGGCAATGCAGCAGCATGCCAAAAAGGGTATCTGAGGGTGGGGGGCAAATGGGTCAAACAGAATGGTGTTCTCATCTACCTCCATGAGGACCCTTTGTCAGAGCAAGCACAAGCCTGCTCCCAATATGTATGTATGTGGGGAAGCAAACAGAGCACCAGGATCTGCTCCCAGAAAGGCCAGACACAGGGCTGCCACTGAAGCTGTCGCTAAGATTACTGAGCAGCAGCCTGGGCAAGTAAGATTTCCATTCCCTTCACCCATGCTGCCCTCGCCCCCATCTGCCATGGTCAGCACATCTTTGCTTCCTCCTCTCCTCCCGCAACTCCCCACCTCTGCCCCAGACACTTAATGGGCTCTCTACACTTCTGAAAATATTCAGCTTATCTGCAGGTTTTCCACATAGCACCAATGCAACTGAAATTCTTCATAGAAAACCAATAACCTGGCATTATAATACGAGACACTCCTTTTTTCTGAATCTGCTATTCCAGGGAGAACTATTTTTACCACCTAATTTGCATGTCGTGGCTATTTGTTTTACCTTATCTGTATTTATGCACCAGTTACCAGCATGTAGTTACAAATTATATCCTTAATACTTTTCTACCAGCTGGGAATTGATGTTGCTACTGAAATTTCCCTGTATATACTGGAACTGATATTACTTTGACAGTCAACATGTGCTATCCTCAAGGAAGGATGTTGGAGAGAGTCTTTTAATAGGGCAATAAGAAATTGGAGATTCTTGCTTTTAAGGAAGAGTAATAGGATAGAGAGTTGAAGGCTGTACTAATAATGTATTCATGTTTTGTGAAACAAGCAAACAAAGCCAGGAAGCAAGGAACATTATAAAATATGATTGCATAGGAAAATCCTTAAACTAAAAGTTTATCACAGGTCTTTCAGTATTTTTGAATAAATAATAACATCAACCTCTGCCAAAGCCTAATGTCTCCTCTCATTAGTATGATAAAGACTAACCACTTCCTGTTGCCATTAGCACACAAGGGAATAGCCAGCATTGTATCCAGCTTCCTTTGATTCCCCTGTCTACCTGAGCAGGTACCCATTTATAGTTGAGTTGACTGGCAGGCAGCCTTCAGGACATGTCTGCAGGAAAAATTGAACTCAAGTCCATGGAGCAACCACCAAACTCCTTAATTATTATGCTCTCAAGCCCCTATTTAATAAGCTAGTAAATAGGAAAAAGGTGCAATTCAAGAATATTAAAATCTTCCTTTAGGAAGATTTGTGTGAAAGCTGCATGATTCCATAGCCACTGAAAGAGACTACAATTCAGAAGTGAAATCTGGATTCTGCCTACATCCCATCTCTCCCTGCTACTATTTGCTCAAGATGTTCCTATATTTTCATTACAAGCCTTATGCTCCCTTGAGCACTAGAGCTGCAGTTCTCACTACTCTTAGGCAGACCAGGTAATGGTGGACCAGAGGGGATGGGCCATCTCTTTAACCTCTCCTACGGTGACCATCATAGAGGACATTCCAGTTTTCTGCTATTCTGTCCTCTGTCCTTTATTGATACGAACGTGGATGCCTTTATGCCCTTTATTTTTTTTATTCAGGAGAAAAATAGAGGATATAAAGACGTCCGGTTTCATATTAATTGAGGACAGAGGATAACCGGACTGTCCTCTGGGATGGCCTCTGTGATGGCCACCCTTTCTCCCTTCCCCACTTCAACTGCATTGCAACATAAATGCTGGCCATATGTACCTAGGTCTTAATACAAAGTGACTCTGTTAACAAATGCCACAGCTTCTCATATATAACACACTCCCAAATATACTATGCATCTCGTATTTGAAAGGCATTATGAAGATTTTTTTCCAGAGTTATGACTGGAGAGAGCAGGGGCAGAACCTAATGTTCATCTAGCTCACCCTCCCTTTTATGCTGTATGTGAGAAAATATGGTAAAAAAAAATTTCTTAATTTGCCTTACCTCAGTGCATAATTAATATCTAATGATATACAATTAAGGCAAAGAGATGTCTATTATGTCACCATTCTGTATACCTACAGCAAAAAATGTAAAAGACTAAATATCAGAGTTGGCATCATGACAAATATTTGCATAAATTACATTTTTGACATACTTTGAAATTAATTGCTTGTTAATAAATTCTGTTGTTTGGAATGAAGATTTTGACAAGTTGGTCACACAAACAGCCAGGCCCATAGCTAAAATAACTACGTTCTTAGTTATGGAAGACGTGGTAATAAGATTTCACTGTGTGAATGGAGCATATATTATTTTTAATGTTTTGTTCCAGTTTTGTTGCTTATTATAGTTCTTCTGTAAATTGCAGCTATAATTTTGTAAAATCAATGTTTAAGGGGGTAAAATCTAGTTTTCCCAGTAGTTTAGATTTCTTTTGAAAAGAAATATCTCTCAGCCAAAGAAAGAGTACACAATACTTGAATAATAGATACTTTTTCTTCCCCAACGGAGCTATTGTTAAACACTGAATTGTTTAAGAAATAACTGGTTTACAACTAACAGGAAAAATTATAAGTAGCAGTAAACTAGGAAGAAATCTTGCTAGTTTCTCAGATGATGTTCTTGTTTATATTTTACTTTTTATAGACTACAGGCTGCGTGTTCTTTCTATCCCCCCTTTTTGCATGTGTACACACAAATGCACACACACACACACACTCTGTATGTAGAGTCTGGCTTGATACCTTTCTGTTCTGGCTCTGAATATACACTTCCTTGGTTCAGCTTCTGCAGAATCAATTAGTGATTTAATAATTTAAAGTTGTTGCCTAGAGGTTTGGATATTTAAGTCTTTTACAAATCTATTAAAAATCTCTTTTATATAAAAGAGATTTGATAAAAGAGATTTGCACCCCAAACCTCAGCTTGCAGAGAATGGGAAACTTTGATTACTAGTTTTCCTGTTGTGTGGTTGACGTGTAATATGAGTACTGGCAGAGTTCATTCTGTATCCCATTTTACTACTGGCAGAGTCCACATTATGCTTTGCAAAAAAATGATGTACTGCTGAATCACAAGTAATTTGTGGGTTTGTAGTGAAAAGTAAAAAAACCCCAAAAATGTATTTATAAATTGAATCTCCATGATAGAAGGTGATACATAGATTTCATATGGGATTAGGTTTTCATATCTCAGAACAGATTTACTTAGGATTTACTTATTTAAAAAGTAAAGGTACTACTCTGAAACGAACCAGAATTTAATTTAAATATGAACATCAGTCAATAGTGTTTTGAATTTCTCCACTGCCATATCACTGTGCCTAAAATCTTGACATAAGGGAATCTTCTAGTGTAAAACTGTGACAAAGGAGCCTACTTATGGCCAGTCACCAAACTGGCTGCCCCCCATCTAGGGCAGTCTGCCCTGTCTGGATTCCCACAACTTGTTGGGATATACATGATGTAATAAGTAGGAGGCTGCTCTTTTCAAACATCCCAGTGCCAAGGGTTTACACACTGCTCCAACCTCTCCTTACCATGTCCCATGCTTCACAGATGGCATCCAAAATTGCAGTAGCTCCAGCCAGCAGCCAGGCCAAACTCCGCCCCTTGCTAGACCTCTCACAGTCTACTCATTCACTCTGCCCCCTCTCACAGGGCCTCATTCACTCTGCCCTTCACTGGGCCACTCTCAACCTGTCCTGGTCCTTTGAGCAGCCTTAGTTGGGCCATCAGCCTTGCCTACTTACACTGTAGGCAATCTCCCGCAGCCCCTTGGGGGTGCCATGCACCCTACTCTACAGGTGAAAGTCCTTATGCCTAACACTAGGCTGACTAGCCACTAGACCCTCTCTGGGCACTTGGCTCTCTTTTCGGGCCGGTCCATATGCAGTCCTTCAGGCCTGCCTCAGCAAGCTCTGCTCTGCACCCCATACACACAGTCCTTCAGACCCGCCTTGGCAAACCCTACTTTGTGTGGGCCTCTCTACTTATTCCTGCCTCCCTTCCTGGGGCCACTCTCTACCCCCTCACTGGGCCGAACTCTATGGCCCCTTCCTAGGGCTTGGGGTCTTATACCCTCAGGGGCTCAGGTGTCAGGCAACTTTGGAACAGCTTTTCTCTGGCAATCTAACATTATTCCTTTCTATTATATTTAACATGCGGTGCTTTTTATTTTATTGAACTGAGTAAGAAACTCAGATGAGGATGTTATGAACACAGCAGGAATACACAGTTCCTCCCCATAACATAAGTCATTTACTGTAGAACAGAAGATGCATGTTTTCTCATCTATTGCTTTCACCAGCAGCATATGTCCATATAGTTAGTAGATAAATCACCTAACTCCATTTCTTCTGATCTGTAACAGGAAGATATGGATAATGCTGAAGGAAAGTATTGGGAAACAGAATTTTTCACCTTGTTTGAAAGCGGTAGTGAGCAATAGTGACAAAAATGGTTATTGCTTCTGCTCAGGGTCCAAAGTTAAATAACATGATGGCAAGCAAAAGTAACTCCACTGAGAAAATAGCCATTGACTTTGGAACCTCCATGGCATTCTTTGCAGCAAGGAAAAAGGACATGTTGGTTATGGAACATGAACGCTTGTTTTTGTGACAGAACACAAAACTTTGTGTTAGACCCCGACTCTATGTGGTACCCAAAAACTAGGGACATGATGGTTCAATTGCCCATGGATCCTGGTAACTCACTAGCCAGAGCAGAGCAGGGAGCAAACACCAGCACGCATTGCTTGCAACAGCTTTATTCAGAATGGAGACAGCTTTGGACAAGGGTCCCAAAAAACAACAAACCAGGGACCTGCACTGAACATTAGTTCTTTTCACATTTTATACACCTTGGTTCATACATATTAACATTTACTCTGCCTTTGTCCCACCTTCGGATCCACCCATTTCTCCTCCTATTTCAAGTTCCACCTCTGTTTACTGTTTCCTTCCTTAGCATGGTATTGCCTATGCATTTAATGAATTTACATGTCATTTACATGCCTCTCTGCTAATCGCTCATGTGTAAAACTTTGACCCCTATCTTTTTTTGGTCACTTTGCAGTTTCTTGCTGGTTTTCTTGCTTAGTTCTCCATCTCCAAGGCTGTATTTCTGCTTTTGTCTCCTGACACTAGTTGATTAACACATCATGCACTTTGCACCCTATCCTTTTATTAAGAATCCACTTACTTAAGCATTAGCTAAGTGCTTTTCATACATCAGCTAGCCTTGTGACTACCCTGTTTTTCTTAAATGCTTACCTACATAAATATATAAATTAAAAGCCCACTTCAAAAGTGTTCTTAATTGACAATGAACTTCTCTGAGATTAAATTGGAAAATAATAAATTGAATATATTGGGCACTTTTACACGTGATCAGGAGTGTGTGTGGGGGGGTTCTTTAATTAGAGCGGCTCTTGTAGCAGCTCTCTAATTAAAGCACCACAGCATCTCACGTATCGGCATCTCCATGCTTAAAAATGGCAGCAGGGGCACTTGAACTAAAATTTGTTCAATGAGCATTTGTTCAAGTGCCCCCGCTGCCATTTTTAAGCATGGGGACACTGATACATGAGATTCAGTAGGCTGCTGAAGCGCAGTAATTACCATGTTCCAGCAGACTGGAGTCTGCTCTGACATGCTGTAACTAAAGCACACTGGAGCAGCCTCCACGCTTATGCACAGGCACCCACTGATGTAAAATCCGAAGTTACTGAAGTCAATGGCAAAACTTCTGTTGTGCCAGGATTTCACACAATTCTTGAAGGATATGAAGTTCATATTAAGGCTGAGATTTTTCAGGCTCTCAAGACCCTATATAGATACTGATATACATGAATAGTGACACAAAAATAAATATATAACACATCCAGTATCAAAGAAGAGCTATTTCAAGAGTCAGAAACATGAAGTACAACTTGCTGTTCTGGGCATATGCTTGAATTAAAAATGATCATTTAACCCAACCTTTTTGGCAGGTGTGCCAGAAATTAGCCCTACACCCTCCCCGACTGTCGCTCCAAACCCTTTCCCCTGTCCAATCTGCTGCTCTCCTTTCTGCCCCCTGCCCTACCTGCTGCTGTGCTGCCTACCACCTCCCTGATCTGTTGTGTGCCATACATGGAGGCTGACCATACCATTTGTGGCATGCGTATTGCAGGTTGGCCACCCCTGATCTAGCCAATGATTAGACATGAGCAATGATATTCCTCTGAAGTAAATTATTTAGCATTAGGTAAAGGGACTGCATAGCCTCAGAGAATTCTGTTTTCTACCTTTTGATTCTTCTCATATGCTCTTCACTATGCAGGCAACTGCGCGGGAAAGTTTTTGTTTGTTTGTTTGTTTTGTTTTTAATAGAAAGCCATTTTTAACTTGTAACGTTGTTTGATTTGACTTTTATATGAACTCTGTGACACGTGTTACCAGACAGCAAAAGCAAGTATCTCTTAGTGCTGAAGACAAAAGAAAAGTTTGAGTTTAGGTGGTAGATGGTCCACTGGAAAATGGCACAGCACAAACTAAATTTTCTGTTTAAAGTTTCATTAAACATTATAATAAAAAAAATAAGAACAGTATATTAATAGAATAGTGCCAAGAAAAGAACAGTTAGTGGATTAGACATGTGGTATCATACTGGAGATGTAGTTGCATCATTTTTAGGGTGTTACAATGTAAATTGTCTACCATTTAGATCAGCGGTGGGCAATTATTTCAGGCAGAGGGCCGCTTACTGGGTTTTGGTAAGCTACCGAGGGCTGCATGACAGGCAGCCAAAGGCAGATAAATATTAATTTTCTAAATTTTTTAGGGGTCCCGTGGGCCAGATAGAATAACCTGGTGGGCTACATCCGGCCCATAGGCTGCATTTTGCCCACCCCTGATTTAGATTAATCAAAGGGCTTTATTATTTACACCTCTCTAACCATCATAGTGTATGCTGATTCCTGTGAAATCCTGGGTTAGATTACACATTACAATTAGGCCTTATTAAGAGCACTTAACTTGAAAGATCAAACATTATATGGCTTGTTAACATGTGCTAAGTACCCCCTAAGCATCTTGAA